GTGGAAGATGAAACTGCATGCTGTTGGGGGTGGACAGAAGGATGGACATAATGCAGGCAGGGTTTAAAAGCATTGATCTGGGGCTTCATGAGACTCCATGCCTGTTTAGACTTTATAAACTCTGCAAACCAGAGGTTTTGGCACAGGGACAAAACAAGTTGACGTCTCCAGTGTGCCTTCTATCTCTAGCATCTAATGAGATCATTTCTAAAATGTTCAGTGGATTCAGGGATTTAATATGACTAAAGGCTGAAAGACAACAAATAAAGGCAGTTCCAATGAAAGGCTAGCACCGTGCATCTAAACATATGCTTCAATTTTAAAAAAAAAAAAGAAAGAAAGGAAAGAAAAAGGACCTGAAGTTCGAATCAATCCAATAAACAGCACATATGGATTATCTGAGAAGTCAAAAGTCCCAACTGGATCTCTGCAGGCCACAGGCCATTTCTTCAGCTTCTAGTGGCTACTATATTCCTTGACCAATGGCCTTCTTCTCCTTCAAATCTAACAATGGCCAGTAGACTCTCTCACCTCCCAGTGCTCTACCCTTGTTGCAGATGCCCTGTGTTCTCTTCTGACTGCCTGCCCTACCTACTTCATCTTACATTCCCGAATCATTGCTCTACTTCAGGACTAGCTCAATAGCAACTTTAATTCCACCTGTAGCCTGGCTATTGTCATCTGCAGAGAACATCCACAGATTAAGGGACCCATAGATGGACCTCTGTGGGTGCCAATTATTGTGCCTCCCACAGTCTCTCATGGCTTCTTTGTTGCCCTTGGCCATTCTCACTCCATTTAAACTGCACAATCACAACAAGGAGATGAAGCCAGCTTATCTTCCTGTAACTTGCCTTGGGACACAATGGAGAATTCTACCAGCCAGGGAGATGATGCCTGGTAGCAGCAGATGTTGGATATCCAGATAGTAAGCCTTCAATAAATGCTTGTTGTGTGCCAAGAACCAAGCTAGATGTTAGTGATGATACAGGTAGGAGGAACCAGTTTCTTCTCAGCAAACAAATATCTAATGAATAAAATGAGCTGCCGGTGGAACCTAAGGACAAAGCATGAAGGGAAGGAAATGGCATGATGAGAGAGTGCTTTGCACTGGTTCCCCACAATGGGGGCATCTGAACCCCAGGGAGATCATGGCACAGGAGGAGAGCCGGCTTCAATTCCACCCCTACGTTTTAAATTAATATTTCATAAAAAGATTTCTTTTTACTTTTTATTTACAGGTGTAAATATATGCTGTAATGGAGTTACAGGTGGTTGTAAAGCACCCAGTGTGAGTGATAGGGGCCAAACTTAGGTCTTCTGGAAGAGGTGTGAGCACTCTTAACCACTGAGCCATCCCTACAGCCCCTAGGTTTATAAGTGTGTGTGTGTGTGTGTGTGTTATGTGTGTGTGTGTATTTTGTGTGTGTGTGTGTGTGTGTGTGTGTGTGTGTGTGTGTGTGTGTGTATGATATCTGAGTGCCTGCAGATCCAGAAGTATGTATCAGATTCTGAGGAACTGGATTACAGACAGGTGTAAAGACAACTCATGTGAGTTCTGGGAACTGAGCACAGGTCCTACGTAAGAGCAGCAAGCACTCTTGACTACTGAGCCATCTCTCCAACAACCAGGTTTGTAATTTTTTCTTTTTTAAGATTTTATTTATTTATTATGTATACAACATTCTGCTTCCATGTACATCTGCACACCAGAAAAGGGCACCAGATCTCATAACAGATGGTTGTGAGCCACCATGTGGTTGCTGGGAATTGAACTCAGGACCTCTGGAAGAGCAGTCAGTGCTCTAAACCTCTGAGCCATCTCTCCAGCCCCAGGTTTGTAATTTTTAAGAATTATAAATGAGTACAAAGAAACAGACCCTGTTCAACTCTCTTTCTCTTCCTTCTCTCAGCCTGCCTCCATGTCACTGAGCAGGCACAGCTGTCCTACTGAATAAATATATGCTCGTTATCTACATCTGGTTGTAAATTATATGGATCACTTGTAGCTACTTTTTTATAAACACAATTGATTCTCTGTGACTGGACTGAAAAACAGGTTCCCAGGTCAGGACTTTGTGTATTTATGAGTTTCCAGGGCAAAAGCTGAAATAGCTGTGTTGAAGGATATGTTCATTTAAGTGTAAGGAGATACTGTGAAGTTGCCATCCAAATATGCAGATCAGTTTATCTCTGTCCACAGCAGTTCACAGTCCGGATGGCACTTCAACAACAACTATTTCCCAGTCTGATGGATAGAAAGGAGTGTATCAATGTGGCTTTGATATGCATGTCTTCTTTTTTTTTTATAAAAAAAGATTTTTACTTTAAAAAAGATGTGTATATTTGCATATGTGTGTGTATGTGCATGCAGGTGCATACAGAGGTCAGAGGCATCGACTCCCCTGAGGCTGGTGTCACAGGCAATTTACAACTGCCTGACATGTGTCAGGAATTGAACTCCAGTCATCTGCAAAAGCCGTAAGCGCTCTTAACCACTGAACTATCTCTCCAGCCCTTGATTTGCATTTCTCTCCCTCCCTACCGCTCTCTCTCAGCTTTTTCAAGACAGGGTTTCTCTGTGACTTTGGAGGCTGTCCTGGAACTAGCTCTTGTAGACCAGGCTGGTCTCGAACTCACAGAGATGCCTCCCAAGTGCTGGGATTAAAGGCATGCACCACCACCTGACAGATTTGCATTTCTTTAATGAGCATGATTTTAAAAGGTGTCCCCAAGTGCCTGTTTGTGTTTACATCCTTGAGCCATCTGGGATTTATTTCGACTAGAACTTTATACTGACTCATCAATGAAGACCTGTGCCTGGCTGATATCAACATCATCAGCCATCAGCTGCAAATACAAAACTAAAGCTTAAATAAGACAACACTGGACATATGTTAATGGCTGAAGTAAAAACAAATGCTGATGAGGATGCAGAGAAACTGACCCTTGCTGCTTGTGGAAACAGTTGTCACAGACAACTGGAAGAGCTCTGTTTCGCACCTCCTGTGTCAGCCATTTTTTTTTCTGACCGCTGTAACCAAATATCCAACAGAAGTAATTTAGGGGGAAAAGATTTCCTTTGGTTCATGGTTTGAGGAGGTAGCCTGTCATAGTGGGAGGAGCAAGATGCTGTTTGTTCACTTCTCAATCAGCCAAGAGACACAACTTGCTCTCTTCTCCCCTCTTTTTTTTTTCTGTCTTAACCCACAAAAATGGAGCTACATTCAGGGTAAATATCTGCCCTTCCTCACCCCAGTTAACCTTCTCTGCAAACACCCTCACAGGTACACCTAAAGGCGAGCCTCACTAATGCCTTGGTCAAGTTGGTGATCCAAACGAACCATCAAATCACTCACCTCATGACACAGCAACTGGACTCATGGGCAGAGAAATGAGACTTCCTGCATTAGGTTTCTGTCACTGCAACCAAATACCAGACGCAGAATAGTTAGGTAAATAGACAATTATTTTAGTTTGTGAGTCTAGAGATTCAAGTCGGAGGCTTGGGGGCCTCAGATGAAGGCAGCACACATGACAGGAACATGGGCTAGTGGGAGAATTCACACACTGGGGTCAGGAGAGGAGTGGAAACTGGGTTCTAAAATCCTTATGTCCTCCATGACCTGAGGACCTCTGATTTGACTGCAGCTCTTAAAGGTCCAAAGCACCTCTCCAAAGTACAACCCTGGGAAACAGCATTTACCTGTGGGCCGGGGAGGGAGGGTAATTTATCCAGACAATACATACACATGCAATAAATAAAATAAGATGCTACCACGAAGGACATTGCAGTTGTTATTTTTGCAATTTCCTATGAACCTCTAACTATTTCAAGCTATGTATTTTTACATTCTTAAAAGATAACACATCTAGGTAAAATGCAAGAGGAAAGCCAGCTTCTCTGAAGGCCTTTTGGTTACCCCTCTCAGTGTCCTCCGCAGTTGCTGCATTCTCCATGACCTGTTCCCTTTCCTACTCCCCAGATATACAACGGACTCTTCTGAGCAGATCCAGCTGAGTGGAAGATGCCTTAGACCACTGTAGACACATATTGCATAAAGTAATTCAAAAGAACACCAGAGTAGGCTTTGCTAATTTTCACTGAATGTTACTATTTTAGCCCATTCCTTTTATAGTTCATACTATAGGTGACATAGATAGGAAGCCTGCGCTTGAGTGTTCATCTCTTTTTTTTCAGGTTTTTTGTTTTGTTTTGTTTTTGTGGGGTTGGTTGGTTGTTTGGTTTGTTTGTTTGTTGTTGTTTTTTGTGTGTGCTGGCTGGCCTGGAACTCCCTATATAAACCAGGCTGAGTTGGAACTCACAGCGTTCTGCCTGTCTCTGCCTCCTTTCGCTGAATTTAAAGACATGCGCTGCCCACATCCGGCTTGAGTGAGTGAGTATTTCTTAAGAATATTGTTTCCTGGGGTCACAGTGCGTGGTCAACTCAGTAAATGTAACACCGCAATACTACTTTGACCTTCCCTGTGAGATTTTTGCTGGTTGTCCTGATGTGTCCCGCTGGGAATCCAGTGGGGGCTGGAGTGTACCGGCTGCCAGGCCTAGGACAGCCTTAAACTCAGTAGATCTGATTCTGCTGTCCATTTCTCTTGTTATTTAAACAATTAAGGTAGGTGGTAGAGACCCGCTTGTTCAGCTCGATGGGCCAGGACGCTTTGCCATTTCTGAGAACTACACTCAGGTCTTACACATAGCGTTTGGGGTTTGTGGCCAGCCTACGGAAAGGGCTTGAGCTACCTATGGTGAGAGGGAAACCAGAGAAGGCTAAGGGCGCATCAAGGAAGGATTCTGGAGCCTACCAGGGGCAGGACTGGCCTCTT